CATGGATGAGTTGAAGTTATGAACTGTTTCTGAGAGACAAATAACACCAGGATCCTTTTCTAAGCAGCTGACAGCTGGTAACTGTGCAGGGGCGGGTCTACCAAAGTGTTGCCAGGGGGCAGGTAGGGCATTAACAGGGAGAGGGGGGCACAAGGAAATACTTTTCTTTGTTATGTCATTTAAAAACGTTGAATAAATAATTATCTGAATCTTACAACAAAAGTGGTCACCTGATGAAATGTATAGAAATCCATTACTGTATATAGTAACTAATAAGTCTAATATATACCCTAGTAAGCTATAGTACCATCTGTGCAGTCTGCAATTCTGTTGAAGAAAGATGTTGAATCTATTTAAATATTGTAGAAAAATAATTGATTTCTGTTCATTTGTTTTACACTTGCATTAAATTAAAGTTGATTACATCGATTACGGGTGGGGGTGGTTCCCTAATATTTTTGCTGGGAGTTGGCAACCTTATTAGTTAGGTAGGTAAGTACTCTTTAAAATACCAGAATAGGGAGGATGGTGTAGGTTTAAATTTATTAGTTGATCAGTGTTGCTGAACTATAAGATGTTTTGGGTGCAGTGTATTTTTTGCATACAGGTACAACAGAATAGCTTCAGTCTCTTGTTTTTTTTAAACTCAAGTGTGAACTTATACAAAATGCAGCAAGATATTTATAAAAAACAGTTTTATTGATTACAAAATACGCTATATTGGATTCATATCGGTATCGTAGATATCCAAATTTATGATATCGGAATCGGACATTAAAAAGTGGTATCGTGCCATCTCTGGTATATACGAACTTTGGTTGCTTATGTTTATAGGACCACCCTGTGTCTTCCTTTTATATTTTATTTTCCTTTGCTGTAAGAGCTCTGTAACACCGAAATTTCTCATCCATGGCATAATAAGGGTTTATTCTGTTCTATTCTAAAAGTAGAATGGGAGGCAGAGCCTTCAGTTTTCAGGCCCCTCTTCTGTGGAACCAGCTTCCAGTTTGGATTCAAACTTTCCTTTTTGCTAAAGCATATAGTTAGGGCTGGACCAGGTGATCCTGAATCCTCCCTTAGTTATGCTGCAATAGACGTAGGCTGCCGGGGATTCCCATGATGCATTGAGTTTTTCCTTTCCAGTCACCTTTCTCACTCACTATGTGTTAACAGACCTCTCTGCATTGAATCATATCTGTCTCTCTTCCACACCATGTCTTTATCCTGTCTTCCTTCTGTCACCCCAACCAATCACAGCAGATGGCCCCGCCCCTCCCTGAGCCTGGTTCTGCCGGAGGTTTCTTCCTGTTAAAAGGGAGTTTTTCCTTCCCACTGTCGCCAAAGTGCTGCTCATAAGGGGTCATATGATTGTTGGGTTTTTCTCTGTATCTATGAAGCGCCTTGAGGCGACTTTTATTGTGCTTTGGCGCTACATAAATAAAATTGAATTGAATTGAATTGAATTGAAGAACAGGTAGTTTAAGATCTTCAATAACAAATGACTGTTTGAATAAAAACAGCAGCAGCTCTGAAACACTTTAATAAAGCTGAAAACGAGCTGCTTTCTGTGTCCCTGCAGCTGTGATGGAAGAAAAGTGTGTGACATAAATATGAACATCATCAGTGCTTCTGATCCCGGCGTCTGCACCTACCTGGACATCACCTTCAACTGCGTCCCTGCAAGTCTGTTACATCTGTGATTATCAGCTAACAATCAGTCACATCTGTACATGAATCATTACAGTTTCTAATGTGATGCGTTTCTTTGTCAGTCCACAATGTAACATGTGAAGGATCTCAGGCGAACCTTCAGTGTGGTCAGATTTATTTTTCTCATTTATTGTAACTTTAGTGGATTCATTTGATAGAACTACAAACATGGTTACAGTTCATGAACTCTTCCTCAGGTGAAGGACAGGTTATAGTCGTCTCCTGGGTGAATTATGGTCGCCGTGACAACACCACATGCCCTGATGGAAATCCTGATCACGTCAAAAATGTTCTCTGTTCGAGTCCCAATAGTACAGAATATGTAACTAACAGGTAGAGATGCTGACTCTCTTTCCATCTTCTCTCAGATGACACGGCGTACTTCAGTCCTCTGCTGACTCACCTTTGACCTGCATTCACAGGTGTAACAGGCAGAACAACTGTACTGTTGGAGCATCAAACACAGTGTTTGGAGACCCCTGTGGCGGCACCTACAAGTGTAAAACACCTCCAGGTGTTTTACACTTGTCAGGGTAAGTAACTCAAACAATAAAGTTATAAAAATAATATTTTAGGGTGTGTACATTCAGATTAATTTTTGAAGTAAATAGAAATGATAATCGTTCATCATTTTTGAAAGTTTAACCTGTCTCTGCTGAAAACACTGAAATCCTCAGACACAAAGTTGAAATGAGTTTTTTTGCAGATCCTAAATGATTGAAATCACATTTATGAAAAAAGATCTTGAGCATCATCTTTTATTAGCTTATCATAATATTTAGTTATTAAAATGTGATTTAACCTCCTAAGACCCGAACTCTTCCACAGCATGTATTTTTAACTAATTATTAACATTTCAGGTCACAAGCTTCCCCAGCTGTCAGTGATGCTGTCCAAGACTGCCCATCAGGCTGTCTTCCCCCAAGTCTGCTTAAAAATACTTTTAATACTGTCGGGCTTTTTATCCTGAGATTAATTAACACTTGCTTGCTACAGGCTGTGTCCCATCATGTTTTAAACAAGCTATAGTTCAGCCTCTTCTTAAAAAACACAATCTGGACCCAACTGTTCTGTCCAATTACAAGAAATCTCAAAGCTTCCCTTTCGTTCCAAAGTTCTGGAGAAAGCTGCCTATTTACAGTTGCAGGCCCAACTTGATCTTAACGAGATCTCTGAAAGGTTTCAATCTGGTTTTAAATCCAGACTGAAATTAAATCAGACCAGGAGTGACATGTTTAGCCGCATGTTCTCCTTAAATTGCTGGCTGTCTGAGTGGTGTCCCAGAAATGATGTGGACTTCATAGATAATTGGCAAACCTTCTGGAGGAAACCTGGTGTTGTTAGGAGAGACGGCATCCATCCCACTTTGGATGGAGCAGCTCTCATTTCTAGAAATATGGACAAATTTATTAAACCCCCCAAAATATGACTATCCAGAGTTGGGACCAGGAAGCAGAGTTGCAGTCTTACACGCCTCTCTGCAGCTTCTCTCCTCCTGCTACCCCCCCCCAAACACCCATCTCCATAGAGACTGTGTCAGCTCCCAAACAGACAAAAAACAAACTAAAAACCAGCAACAAACAACTTAAACATAAACAATTACAAAGAAAGAACAATAAAGTATCCACATCTGAACCAAAGAGTAAAACAGTGAAATGTGGATTATTAAATATTAGGTCTCTCTCCTCCAAGTCTCTGTTAGTACATGACTTGATAATTGATCAACAAATTGATTTACTCTGCCTTACAGAAACCTGGTTGCAGCAGGATGATTATGTTAGTTTAAATGAATCAACACCCCCGAGTCATTCTAACTACCAGAAACCTCGAAGCACAGGCCGAGGGGGAGGTGTGGCAGCAATTTTTCACACCAGCCTATTAATCAACCAAAGACCCAGACAGACTTTTAATTCATTTGAAAGCCTGATGCTTAGCCTCGTCCACCCCAGCTGTAAAACTCAGAAACCAGTCTTACTTGTTATCATCTATCGTCCACCTGGGCCTTACACAGAGTTTCTGTCTGATTTCTCAGACTTTTTATCTAATTTAGTTCTGAGCTCAGATAAAATAATTATTGTGGGTGATTTTAACATCCATGTAGATGCTAAAAATGACAGCCTCAACATGGCATTTAATCTGTTATTAGACTCAATTAGTTTCTCTCAAAATGTAAAAGAACCCACCCACCACTTTAATCACACTCTAGATCTTGTTTTAACATATGGCATAGAAACTGAACATTTAACAGTGTTTCCTGAAAACCCTCTGCTGTCTGATCATTTCCTGATATTACCGTGGAAGCACTAGCTGGTAGTCAGGCTGTACATGTGTCCTTGTGGAGTTGAAAATAATCCACTTGTACTTGAAAAAACAAACAAACATGCAAACATTTGTTTCCACAGTCTTGAATTACAGTAATCCGTCTGAATGTTCCTGTACACTGACATATTGTGGTGGACCACTAGAGGGCTCCACTCACACCCAGTGTCGAGAAAGTGTGTTGTTGTGTTTTTTGGCGCAATGTATGGAGCTGACCTCTGACCACCACCCGTTGCCTACTGGTGGTGGTCAGAGGGCCCGGTGGAGCCAGTGTCCGGCAGCCTCGCCTCTGTCAGTGCGCCCCAGGGTGGCTGTGGTTACAATGTAGCTGCCATCACCAGTGTGTGAATGAGTGTGTGAATGGGTGAATGTAGTGTAAAGCAGTTTGGGGTCCATAGGGACTAAGTAAAGCACTATACATACTAATACAGGCCATTTACCATTTTACCATATACAGGTGGAGTCAAAGTAGTGAAAAACAGCCAGTTCTACCAATAAATCATGAAAAGTAAGGTTTAAATTTTTGGTGAAAAATGTGTTCATGACAATGCAGACTGTACGTTGCTAGTATGTAGCTTCCTAGATTTTATACTTAAGGCACATAATTATTCATTTTACAGGCTGTACAGCACATGAAAAAATTTTTATTTGACTGTAATATTTAATTATGTGGGATAAATAGGGTTAGATAGGGTTAAATAAGAAATTTAAAGAGTATGCTTATATAAAACAAATTCATACTTACTCCATTTTATGTATTTTAAACATATTTAATAGATATTACAGAATGCAGATGGATATGTGAAAAGAAATGGCTTTGATTTTGCCTTCTTAAGTAAATTTCTCTAGATCAGCCCCTGCAGCACAAACCAGGGCAAAGTTCAAGCATTACGGAAGTTTCATTTCTCATATATTATATTGATTATACTCATATTTGATTAGAAGTTTATATATAATGAACTATTAGCAGAATCGCATAGAGATATATTGTTATAGCACTCTGTGTTACTTTAACCATGAAAAGGCTGGATAGTTGTCCGTTATTTCACTCTTGGATGGAGATAAGCTGGGGGATGTCAATCTCTTTGACATGTTATATGAAACCATATTTGTCAATACATCCACCAGCAGTGATGGAAGTGACATCATCAATTCAGATCTGTCAGCACACGAAGAAGCAGTTACGGATCTCTGACACAAACAAAAGGTGTGTTCGTGTTACACCATGCATCGTTGACATAATCCTGTCCTGTAAAAACGGTTCAAAATAAAGAAGAATAGAAATAAAATCAGAGGTCTGTGCAGTAAATGTTTTCTTCTTTTCTAATGTAAAAGAAAAAAACAGTTCTGTTAAAGACCTAAGATTACATGATTTTAATTTGAATTAAAATAAAAATGGATTTCAAAAATGAACCCAGATTCAGTTTGTACCTCCATTGTTTATCGTCATACAATCTTCTCTTCCTTTATAATCATTTGGCTCTCCTTTGGCCCAGTTTGGGAAGTCAAACTGGGAACCATCACTCCACATCCACATAGTTTCCTGAAAGAATAAAGTTTGAGGTCTAGGGAGCTTGGAAAGAAAAGCATTTAAGTTGCTTAAATGCTTGAAAGAAAGCAACTTAAAGAAGTCCAAACACTTTTCTTTCCAAGCTCCTTAGACTACGATGACCGGGATGACTGAGAACCCTCACAGAAATAAAATTAGAGGTTCACTTTGTTCTGATGTACTTTGGTGCATTTATGCTGAGAGTGCAGACAAGAGACCTCTACACTTCATGTCTGCTGCCAGCAGATACTCACTAGTAGCTCAAAGACAAATCTCAGTTAACACAAAGAAGAACACGACTAAGTCTTATATACAAAACACAGACCTGGATTTGACAAAATTATAAAATTTGAATCAAACTGATGAATATGAAGAGAAACATATGAAATATCAGAAACAGCTGCAGCTCATCCTCTTTATCTGTGAAACACTTACAGTCTCTCTGTCGTTGCCTCCAACCCAAGCTGTCGGATACGACCCTGCTGCTGTGCGAGTGAGCTCTCTGATGAAGGTGTACTCAGCTGTGCTGTGGAATGAGGCCAGATTTCCACCGAGTGTCTGACAGGAACTCTGAGGAGGAAGATGAGGTGCACAGAAGATGAAAAGTGTGAGAATGCATTTAAAATCAGTCAAAGACAGAAAGTCTTTATATCATCAGTGATGCAGCAACAGCTGCTGTTATTTCCTGATGTACCTCAGCATCAGTCCAGGTCTTCATGCTGCTGTTAAAGATGAAACAGCGACCTCCAAACCAAGTCCAACCAGCAGGGCAGGAAGCATCTTCAAAATGATTGCAAAGTTAAAAGGTCGGTGAACAGATTAATGGTTCCTCAAAAGAAAGTAATTTCTCCCCATAAACTTCAGAACAGAATATGAAGAATTTCATAACAGACATCTGTTTCATTATTTTTCATGTGTTCCTAATAAACTGTCAGTTGAGTACACGCCAAAGCAAAGCAGTCGATCATCTCATGTTAGAAGAAGCTGAGCTTGAACAATGACTTTCATATTAACAGCTGGTTAATTATGTAACTGACTAACTACATCAGTACGACACTGCCTGGGTCTTTCTAAGGCCTCAGGTTTGTACAGCTTGTTGTACTTGTTAGGCGTCCCATCACACTTCTCTGCAGTTCTGATAGTTGGGTAACTTCCCTCCTTTCTGCCTCTAGTTTTCGTCTCCACTGAGGCTTCTGTTCTTGTGTTCATCTGATATTCAAGGATCCCTGTTGCTGTGTAGATCAGCTGGCTGTTTGCAGTGATGGTCACAGAAGGGATTTTATTAGTGTGCGCTCAAATATAGGACTTTGTAGGAATGCTTCAGTGTTTTCACATTTAATTAGCAAATACAAGCACATTTTTGCTTTGCACACTGCAGAGTGAAGGCAAAGGACCAACAAGCGCTCAGCATCTCTGGGAACTCCTTCAAGACTGTTGGAAAACCATTTCAGGAGACGACCTCATGGAGCTCATGGAGACAAGGCCAAGAGTGTGCAAAGCAGAAATCAAAGCAAAGGGTGGCTGTTACCAAGAATCTAAAATATGAAACATATTTTTACACAACTCTTTTTTAATTCTCATCCATAAATAATGTGCATCTTTCACGTGATTCAGTTTATTTTGAAAAGTCTCAACAGGATCTTGAGCTTTATTGTGAAAGGTTTATGTGGAACAAGCGGACACGCGATGCTGTTACCGTCGTTGTTGCTAACGACAACGCATAAAAACAGGCGCTTGTCCATCCGTAGTGTGGTTATATTAAATATAAGAGAAAGAGAGAACTTTAAGAAATGAATATAGCCACTACAGTGACCATCAAACCATGAACAAATATTGCCGTAAACCGTAACCACGAAACAAACGATAGCGTAAAATGAAACGATCGACATTTTTACATCTTCATCCGATATATATCGTTATATCGAACAGCCCTAATTCTGTCTGTTTGATTTTTACTTGTATGTGTCTTTAATTTGGTCAGAGGACTTTATAAACTCTCCCTTTTAATGTACTTTTATTGCAAAATGTGTTCATCTCTCAACTTCAGATTGTTATTAAAGAACTGTTACACTGATTTACTGCACCATCTTGTGGTATAAAGCGGTATCTCTGCCTTATCTTCAGTTGGTAAACACAACAGATGTTCTGTTCTCCACATTCTGTCGATGTTCAGGAAACATCAGCGAATAAAACAGAGACATTTTTTATTTACGATGTCATTTTCATTAGCTTACTTGATTATTCAAAATTTATTTGTATGGCACATTTAAGAACAACAGAGTTGACCAAAGTGCTTCACAATCAGTTAAAAACAAGAAAAAACTGTAGAGAAACAAATAAAGATAAATAAGAAGACAATGAATTAAATATAAAAACATAAAACAGGCCTGATTGTACTCATACTGAACTCTAACACTGCCTATGAATGCAGAGTTCATAAGGTTGAGATTTTTTAATGAAGCGATTCAGTTTTCACAAAGTGGAAAGGAAGCCTGCATAGTAACAGTGGCACAGGGGTTAATAACAGAATTAAAACTAGAAAATGCATTTTCTGAAGAAACTGCAGCTTGGATGCTGATAGTTGAATGTTTTGAGTTGAAATGAAGCTGTTAAGTTAAAAATGTTGAAGGGGGCGCAGTATGAAAAGAAAAACAATAAAAGAACGCTTGGACACTGCTAGCATCGTGGACAGGTTTTTGACGGGGCTCCCGCACAAATGCAAAGCAGGAGATGAAGCATCGCTGAATATGTTTCCAAACCAACTTCCTTCCAAGCCAAAGACTAGAAAATATGGTGAAGCAAATCTTCCCTTTGGCTTCACCTGCACAGGTGCTGAGGTAGGTCTCCGCTGCAGAACTGGTTTTCCCTGCGTCGGGAGCAGCGCTGGGCTCTTCAAATCACGGACAAACAGGATCCCACATTCTTGATCTTTAGTTCAAACACTTGTTGTAATGACTAACTGCTCCTGACATGTTGGAGATGTTTGCTCTTTATACAGTAAAGTTACAGCGGGATACAAATAACATCAGGCTGATCCTGCCACAATTTGTTCCCTCGGTTCAAATCACAGACAAACAGGATCCCACAGCTGTTTATGTTTTTGAACACCGTTATGCACAGAGAGGCATTTTTTGAAAAAAATAAATTGATAGCAATGTTGAATATTATTACACAGGAAAAAAACAGCTACATGTAAAATAATCACACTGTGACACCTCTGCCTTTGTAAATGAAGGGACAGTTACTGCGTGTGTGTATGTAAGCATGTAAAACCTGAAGATAGTCAGATTAACAGTATTTCGTCTCTATCAGCCAGGGCTGGCCCGTGGCATAGGCCGTATAGGCAAATGCTAAGGGCGCCGTCCATCAGGGGGCGCCACGCCAGTGCCACAAATGTTGAAAAAAAAAAAGAAAAAAAGTTGGTACTATTATTTCTAAATACAAAAAATAATCCCACGTTAATTAAAATGCAAAGTAAAGCTTATTTAATAGAAATATTATTTGTTACAACATTACACTACACTGCTGATGTAGGGAGGCGCCACCTAAAATCTTGCCTAGGGCGCCAGATTGGTTAGGGCCGTTTCTGCTATCAGCCATTGTAGAAATGAACCTCATGTAAACAATAATGTTATTTATGTGTGGACGAAAGGCCCAAACGCATAGAAACAGCTGCGTGTAGGTGTGGACGCAGCGTAAAATTACTACCTGTAATTTATTGCAGTTTACTTTTATTTGTTTAATTGTTTACTAAATGTTTGAGGTGTGAATTAAACCGCAATGGAGTTTGATAACAAAATATGTGTGTGTGGTTGGAGAATTTTTTTGTGCGGGGGGGTTCATGTAAAACAAAGGGGGGCCTAGCAAGAAAAGATTGGGAACCACTGACCTAGAGTGACCAAACTTTAAAACGAAGCCAAGACACTGAACTATTCAACTTGTATTTATCTTTTCAATATCTATTATACTTTTTCTTCAGTTCCAGTTTAAGTTTCAGAGTTTCAGAAGTACAGGCTGTCTTTACACTGTTACATGTCTATTTAATAAACTCCACAGCCATGAAAAGTGAGAATTCGGTAGACTGGACATTGCTGGTGCTCGCAGTGAAAGAATTTTGTCAATATGACTTGTAGTTTTCTCTTGGGAAGCATTTGTTTTGGGGTCACTTTTCTGTTTATTTAAAGCAGCAGAAGAGAGGCGCAAATCAAATCAAAATTTATTTACATTCCAAGGTTCCTTACAGTGAGCGAGAGGCTGGCGAGAGGGCCTAAGGCATAGGTGTCAAACTCTGGCCCGCGGGCCAAATTTGGCCCTCAGCCTTATTACATTTGGCCCGCGAAGCCATACCAAATTACTATTAGAGCTGGCCTACTGGTATTATACAGCTAATATATATATTGTTTAGTATTAAGCTTTGCTTGTTCCATATTCAGTTTTCCAGCAAAACTTGAGTCCATAAGAAAAGATTCATTCTTATATCTGGAGGAAGTTTTTTTTTTCAATAAATATTAATGTTAGCCCGCGACTTTGTTCCAGTTTTGAATTTTGGCCCACTATGTATTTGAGTTTGACACCCCTGGCCTAAGGCATCAGCTAACTGGTCTGGCGGAGTGTGACTATCAAAAACTATGATTTCAGTCTTATTCTCATTCAGTGTAAGAAAATTATGTGGTAACCAAATTTTAACTTCATGCAGACAGTTTAACAGAGTTTGCAAAGAAGCAGACACATCAGATGTCAAAGGTGAATAAATCTGGATATCATCAGCATAACAGTGAAAGGAGATGCTATATTTTTTAAAAATTAATCCAAACGGCAACATGTACAAGGAAAAGAGCAGGACCGAGCATGGACCCTTGAGGCACACCACAGTAAATAGGGGCAGAGGCCGAGGAGTGTTGCCCCATAGCAACAGAGAACGACCTCTCTGAGAGGTAGGATTTAAACCAGGATAAAACCGTACCTTTGAGACCAACAACATGTTCCACTCTTGATAGAAGAATGTTGTGGTTAACCGTGTCAAAGCAGCGGAAACCACGGAATAGCCAGAGTCAACGGTTAAAAGAAGATCATTAAAAACTCTAAGGCTGTCTCTGTGCTGTGGCGAGGTTTCAAACCAGACTGAAACTTTCTGTTAATACCATTTGCATCTAAAAAGGCCTGAAGTTGTTTTAGAACTACCTTTTCCAATATTTTGGAAATAAAGGGAGTTTGGAGATCGGCCTGTAGTTACTGAGACCATTAGGGTAAAGATTTTTCTTTTTCATAGTAGTCAAAGGAGCTTGCAGAGAAAAGCGTCTGGACTTCTTTAAGTTGCTTGAATCCTCTAATCGCCTGAGCCAAGGTGTGAAACTGGGTGTGGGTCCCAGTTTCCCACCTTGGCTCAGGCGATTAGAGGATCATCAGGGGGTCCTTTTGTCCCTCTGTGGGGGGATACTCCCACTAGGTTTATATCTGGGACTCTCCACCATTTGACCTTAGAACTGAAGAAGCTTCTCGGATGAGAGGTGAAACGTCTTCAAGCAACTTAAAGAAGTCCAGACGCTTTTCTTTGCAAACTCCTTTGACTACGATGACCTGGATGACTGAGAACCTTCACAGACACTTTTTCATAGTAGGTTGCACAACAGCATGCTTAAAGACAGACGGTACACAACCTGATGACAATGATGCATTCAGCAGAAGTAAGATACAAGGACCAATGACATGTAAAGCTTCCTTAAAGAAACGAGAAGGAAGAATATCGTGCGGGGAACCAGAGATTTTGAGACGATCAATTATATCTTTTAAAGCAGAATAAGACACTGGCTCAAACTGTTGAAAGACAGGCAAGCATTCAGAGGCTGGAACTGGGTCTAAAACTGACGATGAATGAGATGGATGAGAAGCCCTTAGAGCTGAGATTTTTTCAGAGAAATACTTTAAGAATACTTTAACAGACTTTTGATACTTAGATAAAGAATTATGGAGGATATCCAGAGAGACGTGGAGTTTGTCTTTCCTCCATTTTCTCTCAGCGCAACAACATTCACGCCTAAGGGCACGAGTAGCATCATTTAGCCAGGGTTGGCGTGAGGATTTGGCACGTTTAATCCTCAGAGGTGCAACAGAGTTAAGAATGTCAGCGCATGTAGTATAAAATAGTTTAGCAAGCTCATCCGCTGATAAAACCCCATTACAGTTAGCATCAGAGAGGGGAGAGTCAAGGAAAGCATCAGTGAAGTGAGCAATTGACTGGGAGTTAATCGTGCATGTTTGCCGCACAGGACCATCACTGTTCAATTCCACATTGCTCACTACAGTATTAAACAAAACCGGGAAGTGATCTGAAATCCCAGTGTCCTTAATGTCTGTGATACAAATGTCCGTGGTCGTGTCCAAATTCATGGGCTGCATCCTCCTGAAGACCCAGCCTTAGCGGTCTACGTGGGCCGGGTCCTCAGAAGGTCGGGTAGGCCGGAAGTAAACGGCTGTGAAATGGGACAGTCTAGAACATAAAGAACACACTGTTGTGTAGAACAAGTCCTTCGGATCCTCAAGGTTTGAACATGATTTTGATAGGAGTTAGGGTCTTGGATTTAGAAGCAGTTTTTTAACACGTGCATCAAGGCAGATTTAAAAGCGTTTTGATTGGCCCATGAAATTCAGGCTTCCGTTCGATTGGTGGATTTCTCTTCAGCAGACAGGTGGTTCAGATCTGGGCGTTTGGAGTTAGTTGATGACTTTTAGAATAATCTTTCATGACTGGATGATTAAAACTTAAAGCATTTACCTGTCTGTAATGGATTCTCCCACATTTCAGTGATTTTGTGATTAAAAGAATATAAACTTTTAAAATTCATTCAGATGTTTTGTGATTCTAAATTTTCTTTAGTCATTACTCAGCTTTTGTACATTTTAAGGATGTTCAGCTACTTTCCAACTTTGAAACTTTTTCTGTGTGAACTTTAGATTTAAACAGTTTTACACTTTAGCCTTCAGCCTATTTCAGCTCATTCAACATTTGTTGAATGAGCTGAATGAGCTTGTTTTTTATCCAGTTTCTCTCTGCACCTCGACATTCGCATCTGAGAGCACAGGTGGCATCATTAAGCCAAGGTTGACGTGTAGATTTGGTGCGTTTAGTCCTTAGTGGAGCAACATTGGCCCGAGGAGAGCTGAAAAATGAACAATCGAGGGATTTAGGATGAAAGTCCTTAGTGACCTGGTGCCCATCCGAAGAGTGATCGTTCCTAACAGGAGCACTTCCCAGCGGACGAAGGTTACTGAGATTCATGCCACCTCTGTAGGTCCACACCCATCGCCAGACAGGTAAAGGCTTCGCTGGCAGGTCAGAGGGAGCAGGAAGTCCAACAGGCCGGATCCAGCGATGGCAGCTGAATCTGTAACTGGACTGGTCCCAGAGGGCTTGAAAAGATGGTAGCACACCTGTAAGAGTACGAGGTTTCTTTACTCCATGTGATTTCAGGTAAGCCTTGAAGCGTAAAAGGATGCCACCTCGCTTTCCCTGTCTTCTAGAGCGCTTCCTGCGAGGCAGGGCAAATGGTGAGTGATGTAGGCAGTCAGATATGTCCGTCAAAAGTGGAGGAAGACTTTGTGGCTCACTTTCCAAATCAAGCATTCAGTGTTTTAGTGGCCGACGGTTCAGAAGAGTTTGGCGATCATAGACAAGTAAAGCAGAACCATCAGGGCAACATAGAAAAAGAAAGGTAACAACCAGCAGACACAACCCAAAGAGACGTCTCGCCGTGCACACTGGTGCCATCTTGGATGCTGCCAGCATAACTAAGGGATGTTGCTGACATATTCTTGAGATAATTTTCATAAATATATAAAATGATTTCAATCTTTTAGGGTCTGCAAAAAACTGACAATGTTTTGGCGTGATTTCAGTCTTTTCAGCACATAAAGGTTAATCTTTCAAAAATGAGGAACAATTATAATTTTCATTCAAACAAATATGAATGTACAGACCCTAAAAGATTATTTTTATAGGTTTATTGTTTGAGTAACTTACCCTGACAAGTGAAAAACACCTCCAGGTACTCGTAGGTGCCATGACATGGGTCTACTAAGCTTGGTGCTTCAACAGTACAGCTGTTCTGCCAGTTACACCTGTGAATGCAGGTAAAAGGTGAGTCAGCAGAAGCTGAGAGAAGATGGAGGGCTGAAGGAAGAGTCAGCGTCCGTACATTTTAGTAAAATATTCCATGCTTGCGGACCAGGAGCATTTAACATTTTGGAGCTCAGAATCAGAACGTCCATCAGGGCACGTGGTTTTGTCACGGCGACCATAATTCGCCCAGGAGACGACTATAACCTGTCTTTCACCTGACGAAGAGTTCATAGAGTCAAACTGTAACCATGGTGATATTTTTTTTACATGAATGCTCAAACGTACAAAGACATAGAAGCTGTGTTCTCACCACACTGAAGGTTTGACTGAGATCCTTCACATGTTACACTGTGGCCTGAAACAGACACAGATCCCATAGAAACTGTAATCATTCATGTACAGATTGGGTTCATCAGTCATTTCTAATCACAGGTTTAACAGAGTCGTTACGTGTGAAGCAGGCGTAGGTGGTCTCCAGGTATTTGCAGACTCCAGGATCATAAGTAATGTTTGACTTTATGTCACACTTGGTTTTTCCATCACAGCTGCAGGGAAACAGAAACATATGGTGGCCCTGAGGGGTCAAACGGACTGCAACTTAAGAAAACACCAGCAAACAGAAAAACGCAGCAAAAGCACACAAAACACCACAGAAGGGAAAAAAAGAAAAAAGTTCATGAAAACGTTAAATTTGGCTGACTGTCGGCAAAGTTATGTGATAGTTACGTGATAGTTACGTGATAGTTACGTGATAGTTACGTGGGCTCACTGACTGCAGCACAGATAAGATCTTGGAGAAGCTTGCGGCTGCCGTGAACACTCAGAATAAGACCTCTGAGTGTAAATTGGATCACATCTTGGAGAAGCTCACTGTGGTCGTGAGCAGAGATGAGCAGAGATGGGCAGTAACGCGTTACTTGTAACGCGTTAATCTGATTACTTTTTTCAGGTAACGAGTAAAGTAAGGGATTACTATTGCCAAAACGGTAATTAGATTACCGTTACTTCCCGTAGGAACGCTGCGTTACTGCGTTACTAAAACCGTGATTTTTTTGCGAGAATGTCTCATGACAGTGACGTAAGCGAGTGCGAAGTTCGCGACAACAGCTGTGTGCAGATCAACAGTGGATCATATATCGAGTGCAGAGAGAGTATGAGCGTGCAGCGTTTAAAGTGTGGAAGTACTGACCTTACTTTGAGTTTGATTCCATAAAAAGTGACAAAAACATTAGTGTCCGCTGTGCGTGGGAAGAAAACTTCTTTTTACAGCGAAAAAACCCCTAAACTTCCAACAAGCACCGAGTAGCTGCGACGTAATGGGAAACTCACAGAGACACTCGCGGATTCTTCCACTGACCGCGGCACACCTGCACCAGGGTAAACCTCCGCCTGCCCCACTCCTGCTTTACAGGTGAAAATAGAGCAACAGGACCGCTGAGTCTTTGACTTTATTTATTTTCTGCTGTGTTTTACTTGCATCTATTTGAAAGACTGAGTGTAAACACAAAAAATATTTTATTTTATGTGCTGGAATGTGCAGAAAATAGGTTTAAATGTTAAACTAATTTCTTCCAGTCAGAGAATGTTGCAGATAATTAAGTTTTTGCTTGATGCATAAAGTTAAAAGATTAAAACTAATAAAACAAGTTTTAAAAAGAGACTTTTCCATTTGATTACATTTTGTATGATGGATTATGTAGAAAAAGTAAGTTGATCTATAGTGTTACATCATATTCTATAAGGATGTTATGTGTTTGTAGACTTTCTGCCCAGTTTGACCCATTTAGCAGACGTCAGCCTGTTTAAGGCTCTGATATCTATTCTGTGTGACTTAAAGCAGTTATGACATGGTCTGATTTTCTCACCCAATAAAGGAATATTTCATATATCAATGTGCTTATTTTACCAAATCAAATCAAATCAAATCACTTTTATTGTCACATCACATGTGCAGATACATTGGTACAGCACATGTGAGTGAAATTCTTGTGTGCGAGCTTCACAAGCAACAGAGTTGTGCAAAATACAATAATGTAAACAAGCAAAATACAAGAATGGCTACATCTGAAACTAATAAATATATGTACAATATATAATAGTATATGCATTTCTATACATGCATATACTATGCATGTATGTACTATGTATATACTATATAGATACATGCTACTGATGAAATTTTGTGATTTTTCTTTTTTTACCCATTTAAGTAAGCTTTCGGACAAATGTAGTGGTGCAAATACAGTGGAACCCCGACTTACGAATACCCCATTTAACGAAAAATTTAAGTTACGAAGGCACTGAACGGAAATATTGCAAAATGCCCATGTAACGAAATCCGCTGGCTCTGATTGGCTGAGCCTACAATGCCCACAATGCCTTGTGACAAATGTGACAAACCCTAATTGCGCTTCGCTGTTCCCCTTGAATGACATATTGTTGTTCTAGTTAGCAATTAGCCTATAGCCTATCGTTCAGCATCGCCTCACTCAAAACGCGCGATGGGTGCTTCGACTTACGAAAGACCCTCGGGAACGAATTAATTTCGTAAGTTGGGGTTCCACTGTATATTAAAAGAACAATATCTCTTTCATAGATAACGCATCCTTATATACAGTGTCACACATATTCGTCTTTGAGATAAAATAGATATAAAGTGATATGAAATAGTTGCACCTTGAATGTTTGCTGAAGTTCAGTATTTGAAACAGAGTTACATTTCACTGTTGTAATTTTCTAATTAAATACATTTAATTTATTAATACAATAAATGTAATGTTGGACATATTATATTTACATTATATTACCAAACTTTGGTAGTTATTGGTCTCATGAAGTATATTAGCTCACTGGTTACTAGCTAATCTCTAGCCTCTCCACACAGCAAAAGTAAAAATAAAATAAAAGCAAGACTTTTGCCTTCATTTCTGTCAAACTATGCGGTTTAAAATGTTTCCAGTGCATAATGTCATTGTTGCTAGGCAAACTGGGCGGCGCATTGAGGGCTAGATCAGTGTTTTTCAACCTTTTTTGAGTCGCGGCACATTTTATAGATTACAAATATCCTGTGGCACACCACCAACCAAACATGTTCCAAAATGACACATTGTAGCCTAATACAGTACATATAATGGCAAGTTAGTCTTTCAGTTTGTTTATACTCACTCAGTGTGAAACCTGGGCCTGTCTAGATGAACACAAAGATGATATTCTGGCAGGAATTGAAGAAAGGCATACACAAAGCTCTTCCTCAATAGCTCTTAATCTCTCTCTGTTTCTAGTTTTTATAGCAGCCATGCTCAAAAAGCTTTGCTCACATAGATATGTTTTTGAAAATGGGAGCAATGTCAAAATGGCTCTGTTTGCCAGAGTGGGGAACGATAGATCAGCAAAGCTCAGCTTTAAACCACAGTCTTGTCTCAGTTCAGTTAGTTCCTCCTGCTCCTGCAAAGTCATATCCTTTCCGATGTCCTGTCCCTTACCCAGTCAAGGCATTCAGTGGAGACTGAGGGGAAATAAATTTACAACTTCTCCTCAAGCGTTTTCAAATGTTTACCTATTATTTCACACAGTGTGGCAGCTTTGATATCGCCTTGCCATTTCTGAGCAAGTGGGAACGTGTCAAGGTTGGCATTTTCCAGATGTTGTTGCCAGAGATGCACCTTTGAACGGAATCCATTTATTTTATCTGTGCTTGTGAGCAGGTTTTCATCTCAGCCTTGTATTCGTGTGTTCAGTTCATTCAAATGCAGAAATATATCTGCCATGTAAGCCAGCCTTAGACACCACTCATCACTTGCAAACAGCTTTGCATCATTGTACCTCCCCTCACTCAAAAACACTTTTAGCTCTTCTCGCAGCTCATACACAGACCATTGGACCTCTGTGTGAAGCAATAAGGCTGTATGCTCCGCTCCCATTTCCTCGCACAGAGATGCAAATATGCGCCTTTTCAGAGGTCTTGACTTGACAAAGTTCACCACGCGCACGACATCATCCAACACAGGAGCTAGGTCTGCTGGTAAAGTCTTGGCAACGAGCACCTCATGGTGCAGAAAACAGTGAGTAAGAATATCATCGGGGTGTATCGCTTTCACTCTGCTAACGAAACCTTTGGTGCGCCCGACCATGGCTGCTGCTCCGTCACTGCAGACACGTGTGCAGTTTTCCCACTTAAGTCGCCCTTGTTCAAGATATTTGGATGTAACCCGAAAAATTTCCTCTCCTGTTGTTTTTTCTGGCAGTGCCTTGCAAAATAGAAAGTTTTCTCTGATGGAGTCTCCATCCACAAAACGCTCATTGGCCAAGAGTTGGGAATGTCCACTAATGTCTGTAGACTCATCAAGTTGCAATGCAAACTTCCCACTGAAGCAATCTTCTCCAAAACCAGAGCAGGACTTTGGCTGTTTCTTTAACCGTGCCAGGGCCCAGCATCTTATTCACAACGGCTTTGCAGGCAGGTAGTATTAATGTCTCTGCTACAGTGTGTGGTTTTGTTGGATTTGGCTATAAGTTCAGCCACTAAGTAGTTAGCTTTGAGAGCTCTTTTAGACACCTTTGTGTTTTTTCTCATTAACGTTACCTGTTTCTCAGCGTGTTCACGCAGGCGAACAAAATAGTCTGTGTTCTTGTTTTGAAGTGAGGGACGTTTGTGTGGAGATGGCGTTTAAGCTTGCTTGGGACCATGGCACTGTTTGAGAATTTTTCTCCACACACCAAACATAACAGAGTCGGTGCAGTGAAAGTAAAGCTCACCGTTTTTGATTTCTTTTGACCACCACTCGTAAAGGGCTCTTCTGGATTAGAATTTTGTCCAGGGCCCAGTTCGGAGGCCGCAGTTTTTCTTTTCAAATATTTATCCATCTTTGTTGTACGACTTGCAGCTGCCACGTACCGCGCGCATCACTAACGCTAATGTCTTAACTTAACAAGGTGATATTGCGCTACCCACTGACATGAAAGAGAAAGAGATGCTCAACAATGATTTTATTACTTTTATTATTATAATTATTAAATTGTATTTTTTTGGACCAATGAATGAAGATAAAATAATTTCCCACGGCACACCTGACGATCTCTCACGGCACACCTATGTGTACTTTTTTAAGTTGCTTGAAAAGCAACTTAAAGAAGTCCAGACGCTTTTCTTTCCAAGCTCCTTAGACTACGATGACCTGGATGACTGAGAACCTTCACAGACAGGGTTCATTACTGTTGTGAGGGAAATCGATTCAATGTGTATTTTAATCACATATAATAGATGCTTGCTATCAGCTGTTTAGTATTAGCTTGTCACATCCGGATCTAGTTCTTCAAGTCATTATATCCCCCAGAAACAATCCAGTTTTTGTTTTCTATTTCCGTTGTGTTTTTCTGC